CATGACATGGTCCCCTCCAGAAAATAAAGACTGCTTCCAAACATATTTTATGAAAACAATATTGTTTTGATGTTAAACCAGGAAACTATTAAAGTCAAATACCCCTTATAAAAATACATGGATTATATTTTATAATATATAAATAAGCAAATCAAATCCAGCATTATATGAAATGAATAGCATACCATGAGCAAGTGAAGTCGATGACATTCATAAAAAGTTTGTTTTGCATTCAAAAAATCCAAAAATGAAATTAATCACTTCAACACAGTTAAGGACAATAATTACATGGTTATCTCAATAAATGCATAAGAGGCATTCAACAAAAGTTAATGTGCATTCATGACACACTCAACACATTAGAAATGGAAGGAAATTCAAACCTGATAAGCAGCACTTCAGAGAGGTAAAGCTAACATCAGACTTTGCCATGAAAGACAAACATCCAGGTATCTTTCCTGATAAGATTGAGCATGTGAGCATGTGCATTTTTACTATTTATATTCAACATCATATTGAAAGTCTTAGACATTACAATCGAACAAAATAAAACAAACAAGAAAATCTACACGGATCAGAAAGGAAGAAGTAACCTGCCTGTATTCATGGATAGCATATTCATCTTCCTGTAAAACGCTAAGGAATCTATGTGTACAGACACACTCACACAAAGTAACTATCCTGGTGAATTTAACAAAGTCAGAGGATCCAAGGATGGTATTTAAAAGCTGAATGTCTTTCCACATACTAGCAACAAAAATTAAATTAAGACATTTATGAATATAATTTATGATAGCATCAAAAAGCCTAAATACTTAGGAATAAATTTAAAGAAAGTTGTGTAAAGATCCCTTTACTTCAAACTACAAACTACTGCTTGAAAATTTTAAAAAGACAAAAAGACAGCTCTAGTATATTCATAGATTGGAAGGGTCCACCAAATTGTCATTTTTTTTTTTTACTACAATTGATCCATGGAGTATATGATATTCTAATCAATATCACCCTGGGACTTTTTGTAGAAATTGATAAGCTGAATCTAAAAATTATATGGAATTGCTAATGACTTACAGTAGTAAAAGTAATTTTTGAAAAGAACATAATTGGCAGATTCTCACTATTTGATTTCAGATCTCATAGGGAAACTACATTTGTATACTGCATTTATGATAATTTGAATTTCAACAAAGTTTATAATATAACTTCATAATTTAATTTAATGAAAAGTACTATAATTTAATAGGGACATTTCTTCAAAAGTTCAAGGAAAAGAAGCAGATGGATCTCCAAAATTCTAATAACAAGATGCCAGCTAAGAAAACTACTCAGCTGCAGATACATTCTGACTTTTATGTAAAAGAGGAAGGATGACACAGTCTCAGAAAAGAGACTCCAGAGGGTGGTGTCATGATTATTCCTACACCTAGAGACCTAATTAAGGAACTTCCAGTATCTGCCTGACTGAATTTCAAATTTGCTATGGGCCAGTGACTCCTCTGTGTCTCCAGTTTGTTCTTTTTGAATATATGTTAGTTTTCCTATGCATGTACTGTCATTGTGTGTATGGTGCAAATAATGTCTTTATATTTGCATAGAATGACAAATCAAAAAGAAATATATTAAAGGATATGTGCTTCAGGAGCTGTACCCAAAGAGCCACATCTGCAGCTGGACTTGAATTAGATGATGAAATTGTGGATGTTAAGCTAACACTATAATGGGATGATACCTGTGGGGATCTTGGGTGGAAAGTGTATTTTGTAGGAGAAACATGAATCAATGGGGAGTCAGAGGGCAGAATGTGGTAGGCAGCTATTGGAATTACCCATAATAATTACTGTCTCCTGCTGTTTACACACTTTTGTAATTTCCTATCCTTAAATATGAGTGGGACATAGTAACTTCTTCTAATTGGATAAAAGTGATGAGTTGTCATGTTGAAAAATACTTATAAAAACTATTGGCTTCTGCCATGGCTGTGCATTCTTGTCATTTGTAATTCTTTGTTGCTCTCCTTCCTTCTTGGAGCCCTGAGGGAAGCAAGATAACCACGCATGAGAATCCCTGTAGATTAGCTTACACAGCAAGATGTCTCCAACTAATTGACTACGTGGACCTAACACCTCCCAAACAGACATATGAGTGAACTTGGATGAGGATATTTTGCAAAATTTGTCCTCAAGATGACTGCAGCCCCACCAGTCAACTTGATCTTATGAAAGATTCTGAATCCAGACATACCTGAATTCCCAACTTGCAGAAATTGTGAGATAATAAATATTTGCTGTTTTCAGCCACTGAATATTTGGGAAATAAGTAATCCACTAGTGATGGATAAAGGTCTATTTCAAAACAGTATGCTGAATAAAATAAGCCAAACGCAAAAAAGCACATATATTTGTTCCATTTGTATGAATGTGTAGAATAGATAAAACTAAGCTACAGTTAGATAAGTCACACCAGTGGTTGTCAGGAGGAGGGGGTGTAGCTGATTGCCACGTTTTCATTATCTTGACTGGGATGGTTTACAGAATTTTCAAATGTCTTCAGACTTTGCACTTATTATAGTCCCATTATATTTTCATACACCCGGTGTACCTCTTTTTTATTATTCATAATTATACAAATTTCTTAAGCTTCAAGAATATACTACAACAGTTACTACATAAAAAAGATAATTATTGATATAGATAGTATACCCACCATTGAACTTACAATCTAAAATAAAATACAGCAAGAATGCAATAAGTTTACTTCAAAATTTCCTTAACTTACTAAGGTTATTTTGGCGAATGAATGAGGTAAAATGATCTATCATTTCAGGTGCAGTGTTAATAAGGCTTTGAACATGACCCACTTCACTCATACCCAAACATATTTCTCAATTATATTAGGCTTGGTAAGAAAAATAATACTTAGAAATTTGGTAAGAACAACAAATTATTTGAAACTGCCTTGTAGGACTTCAAACTTAAAACTTGAAAATAAAAGTCTACCTTGAAAAAGTAAAGGTTTATAATTGTTCTACAGCTTACTGGATATAGAAATACTCAGATTCTTTTCCATTTCTGTATCCTCTTTGTAGGATCTATTTAAATAATTTTCCTTTAAAATGTTCCTTCCTTCTTATAGAACTATGATCCTACAGTTAATGAATTAGTATCTTGAGCCAACTTCGGAGTGATAGAACCTTACTGTCACTCTTTTTCCTACAAAAAACATAGAAACTACATTTATTTTGTGCTTATTATATCCTCCAAACGTCTATGTCCTATTAATGTTATTTTACAAGAAAAAACAGGCTTTGCTGATGTGAATAAATTAAGAGGAGATAGTCCTGGATTGTCCACATTTTTCCAATGTAACAAATGTTCTTATAAGAGAAAGAAAGAGGTGGGAGAGTCAGAGAAAAGATATAATGACAGAAGCAGAAGTCAGGGGGAGAGAGAGATAGACAGAAGCATAGAGAGAAATATTTGAAGATGCTATGCTACTTGGCTTAAAGATTTAATAATGGGCTACATAATGCTTCAGTCATACATGAACATACACATATTCATTTTCATATTCTTTTTCACCATAAGTTACTATAAGATATTGAATATAGTTCCCTGTGCTATTCAGTATGAACTTGTTGTTTATCTATTTTAGATATGTATAATATATATTTTATTATACGTTACTACAAGATAAAGAATATAGTTTCCTGTGCTATATGGTATAAACTTGCTTATCTATTTCATATATATTAGTCAGTATCTGCAAATCGCAAACTCCCAATTTATCCCTTCCCACCCCTTCCTTTACCCTCTGGTAACCACAAGTTTGTTTTCTATGTCTGTGAGTCTGTTTCTGTTTTGTAAATAAGTTTGTTTGTCTTTTTCTTTTGGATTCCATACATAAGTGGCATCATACAGTATTTTTCTTTCTCTTTCTGGCTTACTTCACTTAGAATGACAATCTCCAGATCCAACCATGTTGCTGCAAATGACACTATTTTATTCTTTTTTTATGGTTGAGTAGCATTCCATTGTATAAATATACCACAGCTTCTTTATCCAGTCATCTGTCAATGGACATTTAGGTTGTTTCCATGTCTTGGCTATTGTAAATAGTGCTGCTATGATTGGGGTGCATGTATCTTTTTGAATTAAGGTTCACTCTGGATATATGCCCAGGAATGGGATTGCTGGATCATATGGTAAGTGTATTTTTAGTCTTTTGAGGAATCTCCAAACTATTTTCCATATTGGCTGTACCAAACAATATTCCCACCAACAGTGTAGGAGGGTTCCCTTTTCTCCACAGCCTCTCCAGCATTTATTGTTTATGGACTTCTGAATGATGGCCATTCTGACTGGTGTGAGATGATAATTTATTATGCTGTTGATTTGCATTTCTCTGCTAATTAGCAATATTTAGCATTTTTTTAATATGACCATTTGGCTATTTGTATGTCTTCACTGGAGAATTGCTTGTTTAGGTCTTCTGCCCATTTTTGGATTGGGTTGTTTGGTTTTTTTCTTATTAAGTTGTGTGAGCTAACTATACATTCTGGAAATTAAGCCCTTATCA